GCCATCTTCAAGGCAGTTCAAGAAGAGACTGAAGATGCTTTTCAGGAGCTGCAACATGTTAGGGAGGACTCCAAATACGCTGCAATAAAGCCAGTGCAGGTATTTTTCGATCTCGTGGCCCAACGTCGAGAAGCGGACAACGGTAGTCTATCTGTGATATTTCGCAGTGTTGCTTCCTAGTTTCACATTACTATTACAGCGGGAAATGGAGGACTCCATCAGAGCAAACATTCGTAGATCGGGCTACAATTCTCGAAAGCCAGCAATAGTTAAGAGCTTGAGAAAATGGGTGAGTCGCTCAGTTACAATGGAAAATGTGCCGGAGGAGTTCCGCAAGCTCCATGATGGCTCTCCGTTTCTGCAACTGGACGAACCGGGGTTCCACATTTATTACTCCACCGGAACCATCCAGGTACCTACAGTAAACATAGCATTCCAATTAAAGCTTATAACACTTTTTCAGATGGCGCGCGAGAATGGGCTTTATGGCACTGTGGCCGACGGGTCTCACAGCTTGCAGCCGAAGACCTTGGGGCGCTATGCGCAGCTGTACTGCGTGCATGGTGCCTGCAACCAAGACCTTGACGTACCACTGATGTTCTGCATAATGGAAAAGAAAACTCGTCGCGGGTACAAGAGAGTATTCGAGCACCTGAAGAGGAAGTCTGCTAGGTGAAACACCTAGGCGCATAGTGCTTGATTTCGAAAAAGCTGCCATCCATGCGGCCAAAAGGTATTCCCAAATGCGACTGTTGAAGGATGTGCCTTTCCACCTGGCGCAAGCGTGGAACCGCAAAAGAAACCATTTGGGGCTCCAGAGATACCTGAAAGGCCTAGAAAAGAATGAACGCGTGGTCAACTGGTGGGAAACGCTAGCTGCACAGAGACCGCAGAAGTGTGACTGTCAGGGAGCTATTTCCTTTATGGTGTTCTTGAGGACTCTTCTTGCTTTTTTCTTCTTTGGGGAATTACTTATCAGCTACTGTTTCATAACTGAACAGCAACTATCCATGACACTTTTATCGTAGGAGCTGTCTTTAAAGACAGCCCCCGCGCTCGAGTAGTACATGGTCGTCCTTCCTTGTGCAGGTAGTTCAGCCCCCAAGCTAGATACTGTCCCACTCTCGCGACTCCACAGTGAGCGAGGAGCGAGCTACAGCCGCTCAAAGTTCTAGTTCTAACGCCCGCCCAGTTGGACCGCCCCTTGCTAGATGCCCTCTGACGGAGAGCCGCTCAGTTGTTCTTTGTTGGGACGGCGGGCATTAATCGGAACTGCATGTACTTTTTGCTGACCGCGCTCGTGCCCATAAATAATTCTGCTCCTTCATTACATTTTATTCATTGGGAGCACATACAGTCAACTGCAACCCATCTCGCAAGGTAAAACGCGTAAAAATCACGAGTGATGCAATTTTTGTGGTGCAAAAGCTCGACATGCACTAAAAGCTGCACACTGCACGTAACCCCAAATTCGGACGCCAAGTTTTTGAATTTTTCTTTTTTTAAGTGTTTTTCGTTCGTGTCTTTGTTGTTTTTCGTATTCTTTTCTTTGCATTGGATGTTGTCCACTACTGGATAATGCGATTTGTGAGCCAGGGGTTGCCCACAGACCGCCAGGGCGGTGTAACTGTAAGGGAGCAATTTTGTTTGTGGTGTTCTTGAGGGCTGT